GATTTTAACGGACCAGGTTCTGACTGTAATAAAAAGGACTCTTATTTTGAAATACCGAGTTGCTAATACCGGAAGTATCGCTGCCGGTTGCTGTTGGTCAGAGTTAAGTAAATATAGAAAAGTGCTGGTGTTATGTGTATGTTGAATAAAACAGAAGCAACTCCCAGTGGACTGGTGGGCATGTGGATTTATTCACCACTCAGCAGACACAACAACATCCTATAAAGATCAATAAAAAAATAATAATCCGCAGCTTGCATAGGAAACAGCGCCCACTATATTTCCGGATTGCAATGGTGCCATTTCCATAAATGGTATGGCTCACCCCTTACTACATGCTGCAGCGAGGTGTACTTGGATTCGGTTGAATTAAAAGAAAAAATCTTGTATCCGCATCGTGATCCGGAACATCACCAAAATTTAAAGGTGTGTTCCTTGGGCCAATACCCACTTGTGGTAAAAATGTCATGACAATCCGTCCACAAGATTTTACATAATTTTTTTCCATAGACAGACACAACGACAGACCGACAGACAGATGGACATATGCGACCGAAAACATTACCTCCCCACTTGGCGGAGGTAATAAAAAAAAAAAACGTCTCACTGTGAAACAGAAAGACAGAGCTGAGGCATGCAGGACAAAGTTTAATCTTTCTTTCTGTCACAACAGTCATTAGGAATAAGCGAAGATCTTTGTCACTAAACGAGACCCTGTTAAAACAAATAAAAAGCAACACAAAACCCAACAAATTAAAAAGCTCACTCTGCGTATGTGTTGTAGTGATGAATCATCTTAACATACTATACAGCACTGAACGATATTTATTTTCCATATTGACTGATGAGCTTCATTTAATTCTCAGAAGCATGTCACTATCACCTTATTAAATCACCCATTTGTACTGGCAAAAAAAGTACACTTTGCAGTTTTTGTAGGAGTTACAAAGACAAACAYCCTTGGAAACATTTGAGTGTGAATGTCTGAATGTAAGGCTTTTATTTTGGTATTTCACGAGAAAATGTTAAGACGTTGCCCGTCTAGTTTTCCTGTTGTGACATTTGTTCAACTCTCAAGAGAAACGCTTAATGTAATTCTGCATCAACAACGCTAAGCTATTTGAGATAAAGTTAGAATTTAAACAATCTAAGTACATAATTTCTTACAGTAAACCACCGCTAATGCAAGACAACAGCATGAGGATTTAAGAAGCTGATTGCTGAAAACGTATGATGGAGTACAGACAAGCTGGAGCAAAGCTTGCTTTTTTCATTTTTTAAACTTTTTTAATCAAAAACAGTTGTAGGGTAGAGGGTATGAAAAGAAGGAATGACTAACGATACCATGAAACAAATTGAAAAAAAAAAAAGGCACATAAAGATAAACAAATGATACAGCAAAAGAAATCTGCGAAATATAAAAGAAGAGAGAATATTTTCCTTCAGGTGCTGTAACTCACATCAAAACTTTAAATGTCTAACCTTGTTGAAAGAGAGGAAGGAGGAAGAAAAGAGGAAGAGGGTGGTGGGAGGGGATGTCAGCTTTCATCTTGCCACCGCTGCCGCCCTTGCTGCCTGAGGAAAACTGTCATTATGTGTGTCATTGAAAGCTTGTTCAACAGTGTGTACAGGGCGTCCRTGTGCGAGTGAAAGGTAGTGTTAGTGTGATAGATGGATGAAGGGCTGCTAACTAAAAGCAGCCTAAAATTGTTCCAAAATACTTTTCTATTCTCTCCGCTTTTTCTCTCAGCTTGTGATCTTCAAATCAGGCGCCTAAATGCAATGACAAGCGCCTCCACCAGGGGGTAGGGAGAGTAGATCAAAAGGGCCAACCTGCTGAGCGACTGAAGCATTTGTGCAATTAGACCAAATCAAAAAACACAACGTGAAGTGAGTTCAATCTCTACAATGGGCTTGATTGTGCCATTTAGACACACTGCTGTCCTCGCATTAAAAATCCAGTTTTGTCCTTGCACAGATGCAAGTGTACTCGATTATTTCATGTGGGGATTACACGACATTATCGTACATCAAAATGTTGTTTTCAAATGCAGCTAGAACTTTGACTGAAAGTTGGCCAATTTGTCACAGTTCCTAAAAACCAGTGACACAAGGTGTTTGTGTGATGTTGAGAACACAACTGTCATTCTCTTTGAGTCGTAGTGTTTTGGATCCTAACTGGGTCAACCCTCATTAAGAATGGTGCTTCCACCAGTGAACACAGGATTGATAGTGCGCGGAAAAAAAAAAAAAACTAGACAACAAAAGCTCCAAACCCACATCTTCCTCCCCTCTGATCCTGTTGCCCATACAACAAAGAGCTGCAACTGAATTTTAAATGCAACAGATGTTCAGCTGGTGTTTTTCTGCCAGATCTTGTCATGTAAAACTCAAGAGGTCCAACAAAAAAATAAGTGTTCCGTCATTTTTTTTGTCTGAATGTCAAAGCACATTGTACAAAAAAAGGCATCTCAAGCTTAAGGTATGTCCTCAAAAAAACAACCAGTTTATAGCAAAGACGTCAGAAAAAAACAACAACAACAACAACACACAACCAAGCACGCACACTCATGCCCATACTGTGCACGTTTAACTGTGGGAGGACATCTGAGCACTCAAGAACAACACATTTATGCACATTAGGAAAAGACTAACATTCACTCAAAAAAGCAACAGTCAACCAACATATTCACTCATTACCTGTCAAAACATTTTTTTTTAAAAGAAAAAAAATTGTATAGGTCTTCTGGACGGGTTCTTCTCTAATGAAACGTTTAGTCTCTTYTCACTCATTTACAGGCCAGCGGTCACTCTTTCAGAGATGAGGAAGTTCTCATTCTTGATAGGGAGGAACGTTGGTTTGAGAGAGGAGTAAAAGAAGCCATTTTTGTGAAGAAAGACCGCCCTCATTAAACAGAGGTGGAGGCCTCCGTTTTCAGTTGTCCCCCTCCTACAGTGCGGCCATTGCCAGTATCACTCCACCCCCAGTTAACAATAGGTGTTAATTAGGTGTCAACGATAGCCATGTGATGTGAGTATCAGTCACATGGAGGCAGTGCTTAAAAGCCTGAATTTTGCCTGAAACTCTCAGACTGAAGAAGTCTCTTGGAGGAGAGACGAAACGTTTCATTAGAGAAGAACCCGTCCAGAAGACCTATACAATTTTTTTCTTTTTGATTTTTTACCTGGATTACTGAGATGCATTGAAACATTGTTTTTTGTTTGTAATTATTGCACTTAGGGACTTATTATTCTGTATACCATGAGGTGAGCTTTGGGTTTCTGCAGAAGTATTAAAGGAGACATAATGCAAACTATAMTTTTTTTAGACCTTAATTGCATTTTGTTGTGTACTTGGMGTCTCTAGGAGTGCAAAAGAGTCGAATTTAGTCTCTCTCGATAATTCATAGAGATCTTTTCTGTTTGTGTCATATGATGATGGTGTTCAGAGATGATGCTGGTGCATGGCAGCTCCTCCTCTGTCAGTGTGCCCCAGGGCAGCTGTGGTTAATGCAACAGATAACAAAAACCCCAAACATAACATAATTTCTGAATGACTGTAGTGTAAAGATCTTTGGGGTCCAACTGGGCTTGATACATTAGTTCTGCTATAYAAGTTCAGACCATTTACCATATTTTTCAACCCGTTCAGTTTTCTATGATGCTTTCTGAACTAGTAGGTCACAGTTTTTGCAACAAAATTTCTAAATAAGGTGTGGACAAAGTCTTCATTCTCCTCTGGCGCTGGGTCAAACTCTGAYTCAAACGTAAGAAAGGATGGACTAGTCTTCTATGGTTGACTTCTTTTAATTAATTTGTAAATACAATGTTTCTACACCGCTWTAWAGTTGTAAACCCCTCTATCAAACAAGAGTGGACCACTGTGGAAGCTGGAGTGGGGTGGGGTGTGAAGCGCCTCATTTGGATTTAAAGAGACAGCCTCAATATGAGTTGATCTGAGACACACCTCAGAAAAGGGGTGAAAGAGGGGCTTGTGGAGTTACAATAAGATTAAATTCAGACCAAAGCATCGCAGCTATACTTTCTATAGACCCCAACTGAATGATGTTAATGTGAAAAAGAAAAAATTTAAAACATGACATGTTTCCTTTGAAACTGCTAATTTATAAAAGACAACCTGAATAATAATGTTTGTAACTTATATTTAAGCCTGGCAGTTAGGGCAGTCCAGTCTTCTGATACTTCATTTGCACCAAATAGTAGCAAATATGGCCTGCTGAATGTAGAGAGAAAAAATAATAAAAATAAACAGATAAAAAGTGCATCAACATTTAATAGTCCCGAAGCTCTGTGCCAGAAAACCCAGACATCCGATGATAAAATCTTCAATAAAAATTAAAAGTCCTCTCAAAAATACCATCACAAACATGAGCCCGGAATCCAGGAGCTGCAGAACGTATGAATTATTCAGACCAGTTAACCTCCACATGCCAAGAGTTACACGTGGAATTGAAATATCGACAGGAAAAAACTGAATAACTGAGCAACGTTTTTGCTGATGGACTCACCATACACCAACAGGGTGTAGTGATCGGCAGCACGTCCGAAGTTGTTCTGGGCTTGGCACAGGTACGTCCCGTTGTGTGACTGGCTGAGGCGGGAAATCTGAAGAGTGGGCCCAGAAATCTCTGCCCTCTCAGGTAAAGAGTCGTTTATCCTGGACCACTGAATACTTCTGGGCCTGGAAGAAAAGATCCACTGAGTACACAATCTGAGAATACGATAAAAATGTTTAACATAAAGGCCTGACATTTACTGAAGGAGTGCACAGCACCCACCATCTCTCATGTCAGAGTTTTAGACTGAGATCATTTCATRTTGAGAAATGACAAACTTGAACGATATTTCTAGATGTCACGCTCAGAATGTGCGTTGTTTATGACACCCAGGTACTACCACAGCATATTGTAGCTCAATATCTGTAAAACTGACTTATGGTTATTTTGGGATTGGTTGATGTCAATAAGCTGTGTCAGCTATTTTAAATAGCAATGACTCCAAAAGTGAATGTTTAGATGTACATCCAGTGATTACATTTTGAGAGTTTCAATAAAATTTGACGACTGCTTCATGAAATATGTTGCCAACAGACAGATGCAACAACACACAGACGCACAGGCATAAGTGTCCATTTAGCTTGACTTTTTTCGTAATCAGTTCACACACACCGAGGATGCCACTTTGAGGTAAATAAATGCAATTTTTCCAATAAACCAGTCTATATAATGAAACTGTAATGAAGTGAGGTTATAAATTAGTTGTGGATGATTGAAACCACTCCTCGAACCCCCAGCGGATGTTGAGCCACAAATAAATCTGCAAATGGCCTAACAATCTCTACAAGCTAATTTGCCATTTGTCATCTTCTTGGGGGTTTTGCTGGACATGTGGGATCCCTGCTCAAGCTGCTGCCCCCACAACCCCAACTCTGGAACAAGCAGCAGATAATGGATGGATAGATTTAAATTTTTTTAGTCCACATTCTGACATTCATTAGAAGTTGGGAAGATAGCTTCTCATTGAAGGAGAATCCTCCCACTTTATACATTTGCGAGCTTGGCACTGGTAAAGCTGCATTTTACAACCCTTTCCAGTACCACTTTACAATAGGGCTTCCCTTATAAATAATTTTTCTGTAAACACTTCCTAAATCATTAATAAGTGTTTTTTGTGTGTTAATTAAGGTTGAGAAAAAAAACTATCTGGTTTCTTGTAAAATAGTGAGCCAAATTTGTTCATGTACATATTTCATCTAAAGTGCTAAATTAAACATTTCAGACTAGKTTTCAACCTTGTAAGCACAACTTATTGGAAACACATATTTTACATATAATATTGTATTACTGCATTATACATATCCACATTTATCAAAGTTAGCCTTGTTGTAAAGTGTCCCTTATTTTTCTGTTTCCTGTTCAAGAGCTTTTTTAAAAGCTTCACTGTGAGATCAGAACACAAGAACCAGATCAGTGGTATTTTTTTTATATATTTTTTAAAATCTTATTAATATAACATGTATTTGGTTTGTTTCCACAAGTAATGACAAATTGAAAGTTTTGGGTTTAAGATGAAGATGGTCTGTGTGGAAGTATTAACTCAATGAGGGTCTTTCCTTTTAGAAGTTTTCTAAAAAAAGAGAGTACATAGATTTAAACATTGCTCAAAGTAATGTAATTAGTATTATGAAAAGAGAGTGAGAAAAAATAGAGAAAGAGAGAAAACAGAGGGGAAGTAGATCAGAGTTGCTATAAAAGGAAAGGTGGCAGCGGAGGGCAAAGTGGCCCAGAGGGTGAGACTGAGATGAGAAGACAGACTAAAAGGGTCTCAAAGAAAGAGCCAATGGTAACAGGGGGCTGCATCCAGAAAAAATAATGAGGGGATGGATGGTCAGAAAGCAGCAATGGTGTGAAACAGTTGGCAGAAGGAAGAGAATGGCAGAAGAGAGCAAAATAGGATGTCAGGTGTGCAGGGTAGAAACTAAGACGAAGGCAGGAGGAAAGGGCGTGCTAATAAAAAGGGAGAAACGAGAAAGTATGGCGGGTTGGGAGATGAAGGAAAGAAGCAGGCGGGCCAAATGAATTGGTCATAAAAGCTGGGCAGGAAGAGGAGACAGGAGGTGCAAGGATTACAGAGACATCCTGGTGAAGAAATCCGTGCGAGCCTCAGTGTGTGTGTGTGTGTGTGTGAGAGCTTCTGGCTGGGTGTCATGGCTCCTGCCACTTTGGACAGATTACAATCCTGACTCATCTGGGTTCTAATCCCCCGGGAAGTCTAATTAAACCTTTTCCTTGCTCAGTCACTCACACACAAACACTCCCTCACCTCCTCCAACACACGCTGGATGTGAAAAACAAAATCTTCCTCGGTTCACCTTTTGTTAATTCACATGCATGCACGCATTTACTCCCACCTAGTGTAATCTCTTGAAAAGCTAATTTACAAGTAAGGAGGTAATCACGCTAAGGGACAAAGCAGCCTCCTACCTCGTGCTGGCCTAATAACAGTCAGGCAGAAGTGKAGCCCTTCAGAAAAAGGTGGAGGCAGATAATTGGTACTCAATGCTTAACAGGTGGTTAAAGTGCAAAGGTGACCAAGGTACTGGGTGTGTGAGTGTCCATGTCTAAGAGTCTGCAGTCCAGCATCAAACTGGGGTCAGAGTCCACAGCTGCATGCAGCTTCATCCCTCCGTCTCTCAAACACACACACACACACACACACACACACACACACACACACGCACGCACGCACGCACGCACGCACACAGAGTGTCCTCAATCAGCCGTTACAAAGCTTTGGAGAAGCTGGGGCCAATACGTTTCTCAGCCAGTTCTCTCAGTTGGATTTCACCACATGCACACACATGCGCACACATGCACACATGCTGCAACTGCACACTCCTTGGCTGCATGAAGCTTTTCTGAGGAGCTTTAGTAGACCTGATGCTCACAGGCAGACGGCCCATCTAGAGGAGGGTTTAAGAGCTTAGGACCCAATACCCTTCTGGAAAGTGAACAGAGCGTGTGGACACTCYAGAAAACAAGCTTTTTATTTTTATTATTTCTTTTTACAAAATTGGCTTTTAAAATAGTCAATTACAGAATGGGCTTTGAATCACTTTCACACAGTCAGGTACGAGTTTCTAGTATGACCATAGAACTCGTAGTAACCTCTCACCCTTAAGCTATTTTTCTTTTTCTCCTTCATGTAATAAAATATRGATCAGGTGGTTTTTCACCCACCTGTCTTCCATTAAATGTCAGGCGGCATCATATCTGCCACTATTTTGGTTTTGATCAAACTGCCGTGTTGAAATCCAGGGGCTGTAYGCTTCCAAGGACTCGGCCTACTCTGTTAACGTGGGCTGGGTCCTTTGCCGTCCGCCAAGACCGGAAAAAAGTGGCTGTGAATTTGGATGGTCTAGCTTTTAGATTTATTCCCGCCCTTAACTCGACGTACGTGCTGTCGCCTAGCAACTGTGATGACACTAAAACAGAAGCAATTAAGATCGGAAATAAATCAAAATGAACAAAATATTAATATATTAATGTTATAATTAGCAAAATTAGCTTAGAGGCAATACTTGAATAAGGGACCTGCCGTACGAGCTTGTTTGATTTAAAACAAGAATATTGAAAATGTCTATGCTAATTTATTTATTTTATTTATTTGCACAATATTAAAAACACACACCATAAAGCAAATTTATAAAACATCTGGGAATGAGAAGTAAGAAGACTCTAGTCTCATCAGACCACCCCCGCTATGAGAATCAACAGCATGCAAGAACAAAATACAACAAAACAAACAAACACATCAAAACAACACAAGTCTTTGCAACCAAATCACACACCATTTGAAATCAGTATCATTTTTAAACAAATGACAAAAGTCTAAAAATACACTGCCGAATTTTTACTTAAAATTGTACTGCTTTCTCTCACTTCCCAGTCGGTCCGCAATGCATCTTGGGATAGCGTGTGCTGAGAAGGATACACTGGACCTGTCCCTCAAATTAAGGAAACAGGAGGACACATTTCTGGGCCACTACTGGAGGAGTCTTCGCTTCGACGTTATCGGCCTTCAAATTCGGCCCTCGAATGATGCAGCCCCTGAATTTAGACACAGCCTCATTCATTTTGCTGGGAGCTTTAATGGATGTATTTTCTCTTGATTTATTTTTTATAATAAAAATGTTTCTTTATTGTCTTTCAAAACTAATTCTAATTTCAACTGCAAAAACAACCAACCAGAAATCTTCAAAAAGGAAGTAAGGATCAATACTTCTAATTGATATTTAAAGGTAATTTTCGCAAAAATCAAACATAAAAAAATGTTCTGAACTATATCAAATGATGCCATTTGGAAAGTTTACTCCAGTAACTTTCCAGATATACAGTATTGATTGCAATTCACATTCAGTACGAATTAAGAACTCTGCAGAATCTGTTAAAAACAACATGGAAGCTTGAGTTATGTGATTTAAGTATTTTGGGCTAGCCACAGTCTGTGTAGGTAAACAAATATGGTGGAATCAGACAAGTTTGGGATTTTGGAGGTGATGTTTATAAAGAAATATAAAGGTGAATTTGTTGTAAGACAGGGTCAAGAATAAATATCGAGGTGGAGACAGTGGAGTTCCATAATGGAGTAAACACAGGCATCTTTTGCAAAACTTCTTCTGTTTTAAGTGTAAAGAACTGTTCAAACTAGATTTTCAGATCAATAGACTCCATTTCGCCCGTCTGTGGCTCTGAGTCTACACAAAATGGCTGCAAATCACATGTTCTCATAATACTTATSAAAACCCTGGTCACAYYCTCTTGGGAGTGGTCCATCATGTGTCAGGATTGGAATGCTGAAAATGTAAATAGTTTTACACTGCAGGAGTGAGGCACCCTATTAAATAGGGACTTGTTGGTTCTCTTATTGTTTAAAGTAAATGACTACAACTGATTGCAAAGTACAAGATAYTAAATTATGAGTAAGATTCCATTAATCAGCCACAAAATATCCTTCAGTTAYTGGTTTAACYTAATTTTATCTTTTTATGTGCATACTATACTCAACAAATCTGAGCGTAAACATGTACCATTAGATTAAAACTGTTGTCTCTTTGCAAACAGAAGTTGGCGTCTGCTCACAAATTTGCTTAATTTAGTTTTTTTAAGAACACATTAACCACAGATATACTGTATTTAAAAATATATATATTTTGCTGAGTTTTTCTTTCTTTACAATTTTTAAAAAGTAAAAACCAACAATATTGCTAACACAATAAGAACATGACAAAACCTGTCATCTGTCATAACATCCACCTGTGTGTTTTAATGGACATCCACAGAAACAGACTTGAGTTAACGCAGCCTCAAACAGTCACTGAAGGAGCTACAAAGGTCAGCCACTTTCACATCAATTTAATTTTTCAGGCACTGCTGCTTGGCGAGAACTTGGCAGCCTTTAAATGTTTTAAAAAGCTCACCTCTCCTTCAGTTTAAATTTTTAAAGACCAATGAAATTAATGAATCCATGATTAATTCAATGGTTTTAATCAGCGAGATAAGGCAACCGCTAAAAGAAATGTGTGTGATGTAAATTGGATCATTTTAAGTAGAAGGAAGCGGTAATGAATTATGAGGAATGCTTTCATCTTTTTCTCCCTTCTCTGACTGATTACAAATGGTTTTATTAGATTACGGTTGATTTGATCACAAGTAGACAGCTAAAGTGAGTCATTTCAAATGTTGGTTCAAGTGGCCATTTTTAACAGGATGTTATTTCTCAACTGTATGTGGAGAAGCTGTGAGCGACATCACACATCTGAGTTGAACAACAAACGCAAAGAGTGTGGTGTTTCTGCAAAACCCTGACAGACAAGGTTTTAGGTCTGTCATTGTGAAATTAAAAGTAGATTTGCTCTGTATTTAAGATAAACAATCTGAAAAAGAAATATATGAAGGAGAACTGATATTAGAAAGCTCAGTGTTTGTGGACCTCTGGAGACTCAAGTCTGAGGCTTTTAAGTTTCTGTAATTTTCATTCTGAGTCAGTCTGTGTGGAGAAGGAAAGAAAGAAAAACAGAATTTTAGGAAAACACTTTTATCTACTATTATTAATATTATCAGTTATTTAGTCATGCTTCAGTTACTTTTCAGTAATGAAACATCTTGAATAAACACATCTATTTCTCATATTTGCTTGATGCTTTGCTTTGTAAAGGTTGGCATTTTACCTGGTAATCTTTCTGAGGTTTTATTCAATTAAAAACCTCTTTTGGCATCGCTTATCAAATTTGTCAGAACACTTAAAAATGAAAAATTACTGTTATTATTGCCCATTGTCATTTGGCAGACAAAAAAGAAATTGCCTGAGTTTGTGTGTTTGTTTGTCTTTTGGAAAAATATATGAATTGGAGTGGATTTTATTGCAACTCTTGGTAATCACTAAATGCATATCTAWACTAAATAACTTCTGAAGTCAATGGCCATCACAGATAATCAACCTTAGTAAACAAAAATTGCTAAAACTTTGTCAATTTGACAGATAAACTAAAATGCAGTGAAATGCAGGTGAAGCTCATTCCAAACTCTGTGTTGATTGTGCAAGATCTTTGTTTAAMATGTTAGCACTGACTGCTAAAGTTAATCTAGTTTGTCTGTTAGCTTAATATATCAAACCACTGTATAGAAATTAATRAGACTGCCTCACAATGAACCATCTCTTTAAAATACTATGATATACATGATGATAATATAAAATATGATAATACAATAATTATTATATATATAATAGGGGTGTATGGGTGCAACAATACATGCATCTGTMTCAAATAGTTCAATACAGTGCTCTAGGTTTAACATGCAAATGTATTTTATTAACTTGTCCTCTGAAGATGGGCTGTGTTGAAGGCTCAGAGGCTCTATGTTCAACTACTCAACCTAGGCTGAATTGTCGAGCACATATCTACTGAGAAACTTGCTTTATCAGCAACATTTAATTTAAAAACTGTACTTTTGAGGTCAAACAAATGTTCAAAATTAGTTTAATAAATTGTAAGTTAAGCAAGGCATGGAAATTTCACTTTTTTGGTTCGAAATAATATCAAACCGCGACACTGAAGTATCAAACCGAACCGAATCTTGAATTTTCTGTATCTTTGCACCCCTAATATACACATACTATGACTATAGGGAATTTTACAGATATTGACAAATAATATGGATGTGGTAGTAGATGAGAGTCATCCTCAGCCCATACTCCAAGTGTTACCAAATTGCATTATTGTTTGCAACATAAACAAAGTTTATATTTATTTATTCATTAATTTATTTTTGGTTTTAAAAAAGTTAAAACTTCATCAGTTTTCTAAGATCTGACATGAAAGGTTGTGGGCAATGGCCATTCCTCCGTAGTCAATTTTAATTGTTTTCAAGAACTGACAATAAAATTGTTGTTAATGTGTTGTGTTGTGTTCCTAATAAATGGAACAATTTAGCATTTTCTGAGTGGTGTCGTGAAGCTAATTTGTAATGCAGATTATCTTTTTGAAGATATGATTTTAGCTTGTGTGCTTCTATTTAATCAAATCACTTTTAAAAATATTACGCCGATAGTGTTTGTTGTGTTCAACTGGAGGTGAACTACGTTATCACAGAACTATTTTTGTACAATTCTGATCAGACAGACTTACAAAGGATTCCCGGTGATGGAGCAGGTGAGGCTGAGCGAGTCGCCCTCACGCAAAATGCCCGAAGGGGGAACAATCCGCACTGTGGGAGCAACTGTGGAGGAGAGATACGAGGAGCACGAGTTAGTGTTTACACGCCGAGAGAAAATCCTGCATGAAAACAAAACTGATCAACAATCTGAACAGGAAATAGGAAAAACGAGATGGAGAACAAAACGGGGGAGAAGAACAGACAGGGGACAAAAATAAGGAGCAAAAAAAAGTGATAAAGTTGCAGGAGGACGAGGCTTTAACATCAGTTTCCACAGCAACCAACACACAATCCTACGGTTGAGACACCTGTTATCATAAGCGGTCCACCGCTCTACCAGCTGCTGTACTCCACTTACTTCAATAACAGAGCAATGGGACGGCAAATCCACTCAGACGATTGGCCATTATTGCTAGTTGTCAGACCGGMGCACCAGCATGCATCGTGTCACAACTAATAAATATTAATCATCCTGATCTATCAACAAATATGTACATACATGTGGCAAATGAGCTGTTTTCAAAGGCTGATAAAGAATTATTTGCTGAATGTGAATCWTGTCCCAACAGTAAATATTTATGTGTTCCTGTGGAATGTTTGATTCTCCAGTATTATGGACATATTGAGGGATAAGGATCGTACTGAACTGCCAGGAATGCTGAAATGAGAGAGGGAAAAAATGAAGTAACTGAATATTGATTTGGTAAATGCATCACAGTAACACTTGAGGTGAAATGTGTTACCATTTATTCTTGTTGGAATAAAACTGTTTCATGAAATGTAGAAAAAAAACAGCGCAAGTGTGGTTCACAAATACTTTAATCACACTGTAGGAGATGTTTTATTTACTGGGACAAATGGATAATTAAAAGGATCTTTACATAATGTTTGTACTGATTGAAAAGCAAATTAAAGTTGTTTTTTTAATAGGTTCATAAAACATAAGCAATAAAACAGGAGGAAACTTGTGTTGTAGAATTATTAATTAATGTTTTTTAATGTAGATTATTGTCTGCTGTTAGACACAAGATCTTTTGAAAGAGAGGAGGGACACCATGCCAGGGGTTCCCAAACTTTTCCATGCCATGGCCCCCTAAACAGCATTAGCTTCTGACTGGGGACCCTACGTTGAAAATCCACAAACAATGCTACAAAATGTGCAAAGATTTTTTTCACTTCTATTCCTTATTAGTTAGTTACTACATTTGTTATATAATAAACATTTTATTAATGTTATGTTTACATCCATCCATCCATTTTCTGTACACGCTTCTTCCTTTTCAGGGTCGCGTGGGTCACTGGTGCCCATATCCAGCAGTCACAGTGCGAGGGGCGGGGTACACCCTGGACAGGTCGCAAATCCATCACATAATGTTATGTTTGAAACAGTGTATTTTATTGCCACTGGAAAAAAAATTAACAAAATGTTGACAAGAACAAAAGAAAACACACCTCTCTTAAGATTCAGATTCAGGTTCTTTTATTGTCATTCAACATAACATCAGAGATGCACTGTAGAACGAAATTACGATGCATATTAGCAC